GGGGGTGAGTGCTCCCCGCGGCGGCGCTTGAAGGGACAGGCTGGCCTGCAATCCTCCCACTCCCTTCCCACGAGGCTGCTTCTGCCAGGAACCTTCACCTGGAACCATCTCTCGGTTTCACAATCGCACGCACTGTTACCAGCACCGGGGCTGTCAGTCCTGCTGGGCAAAGGGCTCAGGTTACATGTGGGGGTCACTCTGTCCAAGAGTGACTTTCTCTCCCCTGCAGGTCAGGGCTGGAGCTAACTTTCTCCTCCCGCGCTCTGCTCCGCGCAGGGCCAGCAGGTTTTCCTAAACTAGAGAACAACCAGCTCCCAGCACAGGTCCGGCGTCAGGCGGGTTCCACCCCGAGNCGCTCAGCCCGATTGCCCGACTCCTCGGTCCCTCGCGGCCCTTAAAGCGCTTTTAGTCCCGTTTTTAAGACGTGAACGGATTCGAATTTAAAAGCCTATGTCATCTTCAAGTCAGAGCCCACCAACCCCCTCCCCCATCCCTGCCCAGCACACCCGACTTACACCTTTAAGGCTAGAGGGGGGGCGTGGTCTCTTGCTCAGACACCCTCCCCCTTCTGTGCCCACAGCTTTTGGCACCAGGACACGGGCACAGAGAGGGCACAGAGGGCTCTTTATGTGCCTGTACTTTGATCTTTCCCTGGGCTGTTTACACGGACCTGGCTCCCGGCCTGCAAGCTTGGTGTGGGCACGTGGTGGCCCCCAGGCTCCTGCAGAAGAGGGACTCCATCCCCAGCAGCGCCCCTAGCGCTGGGGGGTCCCCTGTGAGATTGGTTATTGGGGCTCCTGCTGCACCCCGCCCCCTCCATGGCATTAGAGGTCCACCTTTCTTTGCTAGTTGCCCCAGTCTCAGCTGGCCCCCAAATTCGGATCAGTTTGTGCTCACATAAACTCTTACATTTCTTACCGTGCCTCAGTTTGTCTTTTAACACGACTGTGTTAAACTGCCTTCTTCTGACTCCTTCCCTCACTGATTTCTGTATCACCATAGCTTGAAAATCCCCTTCAAATATAGGGTGGGCAAAGGTAATTTACAGTTGTTCGTATGGAAAATAATACAGTAATTAATAAATAATAATCCAAGTATAAACTCTGTGTTTCACGTACTCACAACTGTAAACCTACTTCTGCCCCACCCTGTACTTTGAAATGAAACTGTTGGTGGTGAAATTGGTGCTTCTATCCAGGGGCCGGAGAGAACCATGACATTTTCTAAACACTTGTGGACTCAAAAGGGGCCGTGCAATAAACCTGACAAGCTGTGTGTGTGTGGGGGGGCCCATGGCAGAAACGACAAGCTCAGTGAACTAGGAGCCACATGCAGATGAGAGAGGACTCCTCAGTGATCACAGCAAGGAGTGCTCGAGGGCAAGGGCCTGAAATGGTTCAGCGAGAAGCTCCTGAAAATCCTCCCTGTGGTTTTTGGTCAGAGGTAAGCAGGGTGGGCAAATAATTCTTTTCAGAGTGTTTTAAAGAACCATGACATTTTCGCCAGTGGCATCCCAGCCAATCTTCTGTAGTCCAGCTCAGTGTTTCTCAAAGTGTGTTCTGTGGACCAGGGCGAGCAGCATCATGGTCACCTGGGGACATGTCAGAGATGAAAATTCTCTGGCCACACCCAGACCTACTGACTCAGAAACTCTGAAGGCGAGGCCCAGCAATCTGCTTTAGCAAGTCCTCCTGGTGATTCTGAGGCAGGCCCCCTTGGTCACATCGGCTGTCCCCTGCCTTCCCATGTGATCACTGCAGATGGGGCACGTTTGGTAGATCTCCTCTGGAAGATTTTTTTAAGCCAAAAATATCCGCATTAGTGTCCCAAGCACTTGCGTGGAGATATGGAGAGTAACTCACTAATTATGGAGAGACTGTGCCATTTTAATGAGTTCTCTTAGTAACTTTCAGCAAAGCACCTGAGTACTAGAAGCCCAAAGTCTCCTCCTGCTGAGGGTCTCATATTGAGCTGGTCCTCTAGGCATGTTCCATCTACATGGCCAGCCTTCAATGTCACCACCCCCCCCTCCCCGGGCTCCATGAAGACTAGATGCATTTCATAAACTCAATTATCATTACTAAGCATCTCTGGCAGGCTGGTACACCCCTCCTGAAGCAACTCATAAACTCACGATTAAAGAACATCGTTTATCTCTTGTTCATACATTATAGAGTGTTAGTTAAGGGTCATGGCCATGCTCCAGCAGCTTTGGAGATAAGCATGAGTTCACTGCAAACCAATGGAGAGTAACCCGGACTAAATGACACGGCAAAGATATTGGGCAGCCACCAGAACATTCTTGGGGTCAATCTAGATGGCTTACAACTCAGGGTCAGAGAAACTTGCACAAGTACAAGCAGCTACATGACCCTGAGAGGCTCCGGAAGGCCCTCAGCTGCACTGGAGTGAGACACAGGTAACGTGACTGAGGGACATCTGAACATGGTCAGGTTATTTGTATCTGTGAGTGACTGGCAGTGAGGTCACAGTCCAGGCTAAGCGTCCCCACGAGCCTCCCCATGGGTCCTGGTTAAGCATGCGGACGCTGTGCAGGACGTGTGGGAGTGGGAGTGGGAGTGATCCTTGCGTTGCACAAGGAGGCATGTGTCATCCTTGAGTTAAGACACAGTCGGTTCCCACTCGATCTAGGGGACTTCCAGGCCCGTGGGCGGTTCCGCGCTCCTCTCATCTTCCCTGCCCACAGTTTCTCTTCCCATAGTTTGTGCCGTTAGAACTGTGGGAGGGGTAAGGTCAATGTGGACCCTGCGAGAATGTGCAGCCTCTAGGAAGGTTCTAGCAGCTTCTTCCTGTGGGCTTTGAATGGTCCCCTCGCTGGCTTTCGTGATAGCAGTGGAAATCCTAGAATGACTGTTTCCTAATCTGTAGCAGCCAGTGTGCTGTCCATTTTCATCACTTTAGGTCAGTCACAGCTCCGGAAGATCCAGGGAATGGGCACACCTATTGTTCCAGTCAATGGCTTTACTGCATCTTACCATTTCCCAGTGTTGGTCCATGCCCATGACAACAGGTCCTGGGGGTGACGGAGGGACAGGGCGGAAGAAGTTGGAGCCTCCAAAGTGCTGCTTCAAACAAGCCTGTCCTCAGACCTCGAATGCTCCCCGTGGGCTGTAACGTGAGAAATAAACTTCTCTCTTCGTTCAGCCACTGAATTAATTATTGGGTCTCTTTGTTGACAGTCTAGCTTTACCCGACCCAATACAGAAATGGACACTTAGAATTGGGGTGATTCCGCAATATGCGTGCTTGTATGTATGTGCATGTGAACAGGAGAAGCCAAAGAAAATGGGTGCTTCGGGTTGGAGAACTGGAGTGCTTTCTGTCGCGCTCTAGAACATTTGTATAACTCGGTAGGCACGTGTGATAGCTTACTCCGCATGCCTACGTGCTCAGTGAAGCTGTTGGAAAGAGCCAGAATCCTAATGGGTGTTGGCTTTTGGTGACAGTGAATGCCCCACTCATACTCTATCCCCGTGTCTTAGCCACAAGCCCAGTTTCCAGCTGTCGGTAGTACCAGCTCCCTCTTGGGCTGGTCTGTGCCGAAGATAGGCTCTCCTGGTCTGAGAGAAAACAGCTGCCCAGGAGCAGGACTGGAGGCTTGTCTGCTATTGAGCCAGGCCAATGCGAAGGAAAGTTTGGGAGGAAAGAGCACAGGCTTTGGCACTGCTGCCTGGGTTTGAACCCATCTTTCACCCCTGGTTGCATCATCTGAAGCGTTATTCAAACTGATATGTGAATTTCCTCATTGATAAAATGGGGATATACTAATAGTGTATAGTGCAAAGGAGCGTTGTAAGAACTGAATGAAATAATCCATGTAAAGCTCTCAAGGCAGTGCCTGGCACAGACTTAGCCTTAGGAACCGTGGCAGCACGTAGATGTCTGCTGCCCTCTGGTGGCAGCGGGCCATTTTCCATTGAAATGTAAGTGCAGGTAAAGAGCTGCATCTGACCTGCGTGCGGGGTGGCACTGCGGTGTTTTGGGGTGGCTGCTCTGGATGGCAATGGAGTCCTGTCCTCCGAGAAGGCTGGGAAACGCCCTCCTGGCCCCCAGAAGGCCCAGGGCTGCGGAGGTTGTTTTTACTTTAGAATCACTGCCACCTACTGGCCACATTTCATACTTGCAGGCAGAGGTGCCAATCCTGAGTCAACCCAAAACACTGAAATAGGGCAAGGAACTCCCTCCACCCTTCCCTTATCAAGGAGGTGCTTCTGTAGCCTTCAAATACATCTTGGGAAGTTCCTTCCTAAATGTCTCCTTACAAGCTTCCTGCACCTTTTGACCTTCCACTGATGAGTTCTGAATCTTTCTGGCTTTTATTAAACACTCTATCACTTAGATCTCTCTGTCCAGAATACCACAACTTTATGGGTCCTACAGAGAAAGGAAAAATTAAAAGCATGCTAAGACAGTAAAGGTTACCCCCGAATGGCTCTATTTACTAAGTAGGTGTAAAAACATTGCCTGACCTTGGAGCAGTTTTGTCCCCACATTCCCAATGAGCTTCCCCAATTCCAGTTGAAACCATCTTTTAAAAATCCCTTTCCATTTGTTTTTATATGCACAGAGCTTGACACATACTAAGCACTCAGTATTTGCCAACTGAATACGGGGCTTTAAAGGAAGGGAACCCAGAGCACATTTGTAACTACCACTCTCACATGACCTATTTAATCCTCACAGCAACTCTGTAAGTCGGAAATCCAGCCTAGAGTGAGCGAATGGTCAACGGTTGCACTGAAAAAGTGATGGACCCAAAATTTGAGTTCCCTGCCTGATCCCATAAGCTGAGCACTTGTAAGAGAGACAATGATACTCCAGTGGAACTGCTGATCAATACTGGGAAACTGTCTGAAACACAAGCTCTACTGGTTCACATATTTGGTCTTCCCAGCATCCCCTTCTCCCTTTCCTCTGTCACAGACCCTGGCAACAGGGGTGGTGCCAATGGGCTGGCTTTTTGCTCTCTAGCACTAATCCTGATCAGATGGTCAGAATACTGAATCCCTGACTGCTACCTTCTGCAACTGGTTCATAAGAGACATGCCAGACAAATGAAGGCTTTTACTAATGAGGGCTTTAGTCCTACATCTCGGGTCATCCTGTGTGTCTTCTAATCACAGTAGTTTTGTTCTGCATCAATTATTAAATATTTAGGAATTCCGTGAACCAGTTGTTCAACTCTTAGCATCTTGAAATCAGCCATCATAGGAATAATTACACCACGAGAATTGGCAAACACTTAACACATTGTTTGCAGGTAGTTTTCATTGCATGCTCTACTACCAGTCAACATAAAATGTATAAATACGTTTCCCACATACAATGCATTAATAGGACAAATGGAAAGAATGGTCATGGCTTCCTATAGCAGAAATCACCCTGTGGCATTTGGGGCCTTTGTTCATGTGTGCTTTTTCCATGCACACCCATTACAGGTTAGAGCATGCCTATGGCACCCTTTGTGGCTTGTTTATCCCTCAGTTAACCCAAAAGTTTAACAGCTGGGCATGGAGGTTTCCTGGTGGGAGGAGAGCTGAGAGTATCAGAGAAGTGACAACTGCAGTTTGAAACCCACCCACCACCCCCATCATGAACACTGCTCTGTCTCCTGGGACCAGTGAGATGGGACAGTTCAGCCCCTCAAGGCCTTTTACTAATTTCATTTTGATGTTGCCCCCAGGAACTTTCTGAAGTGGATCAGGTCATGAAACAAACACATTTCTCCATGACACTAGTGATCCACAACTCTGGCTACACATTAGAAGAAGCTGGGAGCAGCTAAAACATACTCAAGTCCATACCCATGTCTGCCCCATTTAGAAAAAATAAGTCAGAATATCTAGGGATGAGGCCCGAGCAATAATATCTTTACAAAAACCACCCAGATGATGTGAATGTGTAGTGGGTTCCAAACCACAGCACTAGACAGTGATGCTTAACACACCTGGGATCCTTTCAATACGTTTCAATGCTTGGGTTCCAGCCCAGACCATTTGAAGCCAAAGGTTGAAGCTCTCCAGGTGATCCTGATGGGGTCAGAATCGAGAAATGCTGCTCTAGGCCTGATAAGAATCACCTCTTATTCTGCATCTCATCTCAAATCACTCAACCATATTATTCAAACAAATTTATATGATTGAATCCTGCTTTTGCTATCACCCTACACAACAAAGACTTCTTCCAAGAATCAAGAGGCTCCCTTGATCTGACCCTCCAATTGAAGTCTGAACATATACAGACAGTATCCTCTATATTTTCTTCTGCATCTGCTCAGACCCGTCAGGGGGGCTTCCCTGGAGAGACTGGGTGGAGTCTCAGGTCTGCTTCTCCAAGATCCACGAAGTGGTGAGTTGATATGCTGGGCGAACGCATATAAGACCCCCAAAAATACTCAAAACAGCCCTGAACCACATGTGCCTATATCTGTAACTTAGAAACCATGCAGCAATTCCCCAGTTTTCCAACAGAAGTGGAATGCCAGGCCCGTCACTACTCACTCTCCAGGCTGGCGATTCTCAGAGAGGTCCCTGGACCACCAGCAGCAGCAGCATCGCCAGGCTACACCCAGACCTAGTGAGTCAGAAACTCTGGGCATGGGGCCCAGATCTGTGTTTAACCAGCCCTCCAGGTGGTGGCAATGTCCACTTGAGCTTGAGAACAGCGCCCTCTAGAGCCACATGGATGTTACCAGCTGATCACTGCAGAGGCAGAATGTTGTCTAAAGGGGAGCGCAGAGAAACACTAAGGGAGAGGCTTGTGATTTTATTTCTCTAGGGTAGCAGCAGAGCCATTCCAAGTTGTTCAGAGCCCACCACCTGTGAGCTTAGAGCGAAGTGCCTGGATGATTCTCCTATCAAGGTTCACGGACACTGAGATTGCTTTATTTGGGGGAAATTTGTTTTGTAAGAGCTGTATTATGTGAACATTCTTCTTTCTCTGAGAGATGCTTGGGCAACCTTTAGAAATGGCCAGTGTGGTATCTCCAGTTATTTCCCAGGCCGTATTCTTTGCCTTAGTGTTATCTTTTACATTTAAAACCTTTGAATGCTCCCTTTCTTTTCTTTTTTTAAAAAATATATCTTTATTGATTTCAGAGAGAGGAAGGGAGAGGGAGAGACAGAAACATCAATGATGAGAGTCATTGACCAGCTGCCTCCTGCACGCCCCCGACTGGGGATCGAGGCCGCAACCCGGGCATGTGCCCTGACCGGGAATCGAACCCAGATCTCCTGGATCCTAGGTCAGTGCTGAGCCACACCCGGCCGGGCTGAATGCTCCCTTTCAATTCCCCATTTGATCTCTGTGCCCCTAGCAGTCTAATTCTGAATTTTGTGTGGGTTCTGTGTAGGGAGGGATATAGTCTCCACCCTCTTGTGACCCAGGAATCCCATAATTACAATGAGCAAGGCTCCAAAGTAACCTCATGGCCTCATGTGTCCCACAGGATAGTTTCTTTGCCACCAATAAAAAAAGGGGAGATGAACCTGGGGTAGTGGCCACAGGCTCCTTCTCTCTCCCCACAGATGCTCTACATCACAAATCAAAAAGCCTGTGTACCTGCCCTCTGCCTGTTAGGGGTCAGTGCTTCCAATGGGTGGCTTTGCAGGAAAAGCTTCCTCAGAATCCCTTAAAAGACCTACTCTAACCATCATATACAGCACGTCCCACTCCCCATCTTTTCTCGGCCCAAGTGCTCAGCAGCTCTGCCCACCAAATCTCAGTCCCATGTACCCTGACTCCACTTGGCTGTGCCTCAGGCCCCAGGTGTTAGTGTGGATAGAAAGAGGACCAGGATGTCTGAACCCACAGCTGATCACAACCCTACTGATCCTGGTTCCTGGGGGACACCCCAGGACAGCAAGCTTTCCTCCTCATTAGTTATGAGCCGGTGGCCGCGTGTTGGCTTGAAGGACTCCACTCATTTCTTTCAACCTAAGGCTGTGTGGTCTCCTTGGCCTGTCATGGACTCTTAGTCTGGTTTCCTTATTTCCTTTTTTTGTTTGGCTACAGCTTTATTGTGGTATAATTTACATATTATGAAATTGGCCCATTTTGAGTGTACGGTTCAATGATTTCTAGTAGAGTTGTGCAGTCATCACAATTTGACTTTAGCACATTCACATCTAGTAGAGTTGTGCAGTCATCACAATTTGACTTTAGCACATTCACATCTAGTAGAGTTGTGCAGTCATCACAATTTGACTTTAGCACATTCACATCTAGTAGAGTTGTGCAGTCATCACAATTTGACTTTAGCACATTCACATCTAGTAGAGTTGTGCAGTCATCACAATTTGACTTTAGCACATTCACATCTAGTAGAGTTGTGCAGTCATCACAATTTGACTTTAGCACATTCACATCTAGTAGAGTTGTGCAGTCATCACAATTTGACTTTAGCACATTCACATCTAGTAGAGTTGTGCAGTCATCACAATTTGACTTTAGCACATTCACATCTAGTAGAGTTGTGCAGTCATCACAATTTGACTTTAGCACATTCACATCTAGTAGAGTTGTGCAGTCATCACAATTTGACTTTAGCACATTCACATCTAGTAGAGTTGTGCAGTCATCACAATTTGACTTTAGCACATTCACATCTAGTAGAGTTGTGCAGTCATCACAATTTGACTTTAGCACATTCACATCTAGTAGAGTTGTGCAGTCATCACAATTTGACTTTAGCACATTCACATCTAGTAGAGTTGTGCAGTCATCACAATTTGACTTTAGCACATTCACATCTAGTAGAGTTGTGCAGTCATCACAATTTGACTTTAGCACATTCACATCTAGTAGAGTTGTGCAGTCATCACAATTTGACTTTAGCACATTCACATCTCTTCTGCGATCTCTTCTGGTTCCTTTTTGGCAACTGGGATGCCTGGGCCAACTTCACTCACCATCTCCTGGGAGAGCTGATCCCCAGGAAGAACCCAGAGGGAATTCATTCAAATGAAGAAACTTCTTTGCTGCTCCCACCAAAACCCCACTCTCCCTCGACTCTGCTCCCCATCACAGCCTTGACCTTGATCCACGAGAGCCCTCTTCCTGCAGAGTCCAGTGAGAGATGCTCTAAGGTCACCAAGACCTCCCACATGTCATCAGCTGTACTGGACGAGCATGCGCAGTTGCCAGTGTTTCTGTGGGGGAGGTAAAGAACAATGCCACGAGTCAGTGCCCAGGTTCAAATTGACGAGCTACGTGGATGTCTCCTGACACGTAAAGTGGAAATCAAAATAGTACATCCCATAGAGTTGTTTTAAGAAATAGATTACATTCATGGGGACCATGAAAGTGCCTGTCACATTCTCAGTGCTTTATAAATGCTACTTATTATTATTAGTTTGATTAAAATTTCAAAGGGGCTGTATCTCCCCCCCCCCCCC